GATTTTATTTATTTATTTGACAGAGAGATACAGCGAGCAAGAGAGAACAGTGGGAAAGGGAGAAGCAGGCTTCCCACCGAGCAGAGAGCCTAATGCGGGACTCGATCCCAGCACCCTGGGATCATGACCTGAGCCAAAGGCAGACACTTAACGACTGAGCCACCCAGGCGCCCCGCAGTTAGGGATGATTTAGAAAGATCTTCCTATAGAGAAACAGTTACAGATTCATTACATTAGTTTTCTGTAATCCTCAATTGACATCTGAGATCCATCTATTTTTCCAATAACCCAACTGAGAGTTGAAGGGGAAAAGGTTGGAAGTGGGAATGGATTCCCAGTTACCCCAGTATCAGCTATGATTTCACTCATGATCTGGCCTGGTACTATTTCCTGTTTACAGGTTTGGTGGGACAAGAGAGCTCCACATTTCCATTTTTTAGCAGCCAGTATACATTTGAGGAAGTTCTTTCTCCAAGATAGCAATAACTTAATTGCAATAATAGTCTCATGGTTACATAGTATTCTATCAATGTTCACTTCCTGACTTCTATATTTGTGACATGGTTATGTAAGGTGCTAACATTAAGGAAAGGGGAGGAATGGTATAGGGAACCCTGTACGAGTTTTGTAACATTTCTGTGGGTCTAAAATTATTTCAAAATAAAAGGTTTAAACAACAAAGAACAGTATTAGGGCCTGATGAAATCACCAAAAAGAATACCTTTGATCTTCTGTGTCCCACTTTGGAGTTAGGAAAAGCTATCCACCTCAGGCCCTTCTTCATCCGTATCCTTGAACATTTAGTCTTTCCCATTTGATTGAGGTTTCCAAGAATTTGCATTATCTCTCATCCTGTATCTAAATCCCCTGAAATACTTGAATATTTCCCTTGTCCAAAGCATCTGGACTCAGGCATATGAGGAATCTGATATTGTAACAGGTCTAGAAAGGACATTAGGGCCACATGTCTCTCCCTTTGAGGGGCCTTGTCCTTAGTCTTTAAGGAAAAGTTCCCTACGTTCAGAGAGATTAAATGGTTTAGAGAGATTAAATAGTTTTCAAAACAGCTACTTGCTGTCTGGATACAAAAACAGCTTTATTCTTAGCCTGGTGAGCCTGCTCTTGGCTCAGTTTCCAGAACTTTGAATTACAGAAGTTATGTTGAGTGTTTGCCAGGAGTGTTGCCCTAGTGGCAGCTGTTACTGGGGAGTTTGAGAGATTAACTCTTTCAGGTGCTACATCACTTACTGTTGTAATTTTATTAAATCACTAGTAAGCAATAACCAGATAGTTTGACAAAGAAACAGTTGTATGAACAGAATGAAACACTAGCTCACAAAAATACACTCTTTAAAGGATCTTATTTTTTTAAGATTTTTATTTGAGAGAGAGATAGAGCATGAGAGAGAGAGATTACGAGCAGGGGTATGGGGTAGAGGGAGAAGCAGACTCCCCCCCTGAGCAGGGAGCCTGATGTGGGACTGGATCCCAGGACCCTGGGATCATGACCTGAGCTGAAGGCAGATGCTTAACTGACTAAGCCAGCCAGCTGCCCTTAAAGAATTTTATTTTTAAGTAATCTCTACACCCAACATCAGGCTCAAACTTACAACCCCAAGAGTTGCATGCTCTACCTACTGAGCCAGCCAGGCACCCCACAGAAATACATTTTCTATTTGCCCAATTCTCCAGCTATTCACCACCAACACCATCCATGCCCTGCAGTAGCTCTGCTTCTAACTGTTTGGAAGAGCAGGATGTAAATTTTTGAGAAAATAGGAATGCCAGTTTCTTTGCATTTTAGTGAAAAGCAGATTATTTGGGCAACTGGGGCAGCCTGTCTCAGGCTGATTCAGATGGCCTCTTTCATCATTCCTGATTCCTTCTGTTATAATTTTCCAAGACTGCAGTTGTTCTCTAACATCCCATATGAAGGATCATGGTAATCTCCATAATCTCATCAAACACAGAAATAGCATCTAACTCTTGGAACATTATATTCAGAGGAGAGTGCTCACTGTGAGACCCCCTCTCCCCCAATTCAGTCTGGTCAATCTGAATGTCCTCTGCCCTTATCCTATGATCCTAGTAGCCAACATAGATTTTCCAGAAGTCTGGTTGTATATTATAGTGAGAGCTGGATTTCTGGTGAGTCATTGGGTCTCTTCCCAATAGTGTGTCTATTCATTGGCCCTTGGAAACCTTCTTCTTTTACCTCTATTACTGGGTAAGTTTGTGGTGATCTATGGAGGACTAAATAAATTTGCCCTTCAACATCCTGAGAAGAAAAGTCAGAGAATCTGGTCTGGGGAGAGACCAGCTGAATGCTCCCTGCCTGTTCTGATTTCTTGAAAGCCCAGGAAAAACAGCCAGAAGACAGTGCTCTCATCCCCTCATCTTTTTACCCTAAGCTTTAAAGTCCAAATCTTCTCCCCAGATAGACTTTCCTCTTATAATATCACAATTTTCTATTATAATATTGTCAATATCAGTCAGACTCAGGTCCTGCTAACTGGAATTATCTTTCCTGCCTAATGTCCTGTCAGTGTTTCCTCCAGCTGCACAAACTAATTCTGCCCTACCCAGTGGACTACATAGATTTAGACTACATAGCATTATTTCCACTGGTGGTCCTTCACATCTTGAGTGTGGTCTCTAATTAGGACATCTGGAATCTCTACCATAGGACCTTGAACTTGTCTAGGAGG